TTACCCAAACAAGCAAACAAACAAACAAACAAGCAAGCACACAAAGAAATAATCAGTACAATTTATGGATGGCTGACGAGCTCTCTCGTTTGCTTTGCTGCTTTTACCCTATCAGTCGTCTATCATCCCTATCCCTCCTTCTTTTCTGGGAATGTTACTCCCTATAGCTACCTCTTATCTTTGACACATATAAAATGACCAATTTTTCTTTCTTTTTCCCCCGCTTTTTTTAGTAACTGCAGTAAAACTCTTATGAAAACTGAAACTAAACGTAGCATGTTAATGATTTGTTTGTTTCGCAAGTGCAGTAAAAACCTGTTATTAAAGTTAAGCTAAACCTCATATTATAATTTGCCTTTGCCGTAAAAATCGTATCAAACCTAAACTAAACTGTAAAACCTAAACTATACATAATACCCTTGCCCCAAAGCTCTCAATTAATCTAACCACAGTATAATTTGTCTTGGCCGTAAAACTCTTGAGAACATTACAGTACAATTTGTCTTTGCCGTAAAACTCTTGTAAATACTAAACCAAACTCAATGTAATATGTTTGTCGTAAAACTCATATTGAAACTGTACTAAACTCAGTATATTTTGTCTTTACTGCAAAACTCTAAAAGGGATATTATAATAACTAAATCAGTACATTGTTTTGCTGAAAAGTTTTATTAAGATAAAGCTAAACTTAGTTTAATATCTTTACCGGAAAACTCTTATTAATAATAATATACTAAATTGAGTATAATAACTTATTGTTACGACAAACATTTTATTACTACATGTTTAAACTCATTATAACTTGCTCTTTCTGTAAAACTCTTAGCAGTAATCATCATCGTTGCCTTTCTCACCCTGGGTCAGGATATAGGCCACGAACAAACACCCTCCACTCCACCTTTCCCTATCCTGGGCTAGTCGCTTGATGTCACTCCACGTCTTCCCACTTTTCTGCACATCCGTTTCCGTGACTCTTCTCCAGGTCCCACGAGGTCCCACGAGGTCTTCCCCTTGACCTATTACCCTGTGGGTTCCAATCTAACACTTTTCTTGTTATGCAGCTGCTGTAGCAGTACATCTACTTAAATCAATATCATTTGTCGGTTGCTTTTTTTTGGGGGGGGGGTGTTGGGTCGCATTTAATATTTTCAGTTTGTAGGAAATTTTGAATGTTTCTCGGGTGGCCGTCAAAGCCTACTCTTATCGATTTGGGACCACCAAGGGATCTTTAACGTGCGCAACTTGCACACCAGAAGGCAAGATGTAGCTACCATAAGATCAGGGGTGTGGCTGAAAGATAGTGTTTGCTGTAAAACTAAAACTCAGTGTAATGTCTTTACCGGAAAACTCTTAATAAACTCATTATATACGTTTTCTTTAGAACATAAAACATCATTCAGCAATACATGTTTGACACTCATTATAATTGTGAGTCATCGTGGTATAATCAGGCGCTCGTCAAAATAATGAAATCAGACAAGTCGGCATTTTCCGGCCCCTTTGGGATTTTTTTTCTCCGAATTTTTGTTTTTTGGCTCAACACCTTGTATATCCACTCAAAAACACTTTTGCGCTCATATGACCTTATGCAGTTGTGAGCGTCGTAAAACCCTCTACTATAAAAATATATTTTAAAAAACACCTTTATGTCTGGATTTTATGTTAAAAAACGTTCATTAAAGGCACAATAAATTCAAACTTGCATTGTCAAAGGACTCTTAAGCTATGGAAGTCACCCCACTTTGACGTCCATTTTCTCGCTAATGTTACCTTTGAAACCAGGCGACCCTACCTGCTTCAATCACAAAATATCTCGACTTCTATTCACGATAAATGGTTTTTTTTTTCATGGAAAGTACATGTAGATGATACCTATGACTCACTATGCTCAAAATTCCACAGCGTCGTAAGACATAGTAATGTTAATAACTAATTATTTGTCTTTGTGTCTCCCCCCTTTGTGTCTCCCCCAGACCGTGGTGAGCCCTGCCCTTTCATATAATGTAATAACTTGTCTTTGTGTGTCCCCCCTTTGTGTCTCCCCCAGACCGTGGTGAGCCCTGCCCTCTCATATAATGTGATAACTTGTCTTTGTGTCTCCCCCCTTTGTGTCTCCCCCAGACCCTGGTGAGCCCTGCCCTCTCATATAATGTGATAACTTGTCTTTGTGTCTCCCCCAGACCGTGGTGACCCCGACCCTCTCGGACCACTGGAGCCAGTGGTCCGTGTGGAGTGAGTGCTCGCGCACGTGCGACGGCGGCGCCACCTACCAGGAGAGGAAGTGCGTGCGGAGTTACGAGACCAGGCGCGGGTGTGATGGCGAGCGCTTCCGTTACAACACCTGCAACAATGAGGTGAGTCCGAGGAGGGTTATAAATAGATTGGCTTCTAGTAGGGTCCTCAGGGTGAGTCAGACATACCTGGCGGGTGGTTGGGGCTGGGTTTGGGTAGGTCCTACTTCTTTTCGTTCCCCTCTTATTATTATTAATAATAATAAATGTGAGGCAGCGTGGTGGAATCAGGCTCTCGCCAATCTTTGGGCATGTAGAGTTATTGGTATCATCTTAAAGCTTGTTCACTTTTCTCTATTTGGATGGAAAAAAATATCCATTTATCTTGAATACAAGTCGAAATATTTGCGAATGAAGGAGGTGGGGGTCATTTGTTTTCAGAGGTAAAATTAATGAGAAAATGGCCTCCAAAGATTAGTTATTTCCTTAGCTTTAGCATCCGTGGTAACTGAAAATTTACATTTTGTGCCTTTAATCAAAGCTTTTCAGAAACATTTACACAAAAATGAGTTCTTTTTTGGGCATGAACGGTGTTTAGCAAAAAAACAAATATTTTTATGAAAATTCACAAACCTGCGGAAAAAATGCAAGTTTCTTCACTTTGATTATTTTGACGAGAGCCTGATTCCACCGCGCTGCCTCACATATATTAAACTCGGTATCGCTTCATCACGGTAAAACTTAGCATTACTACATGTTTAGTCTCGTTATGATTTATAATACCTGAATTTTATCTTACTCTTTGAGGCTGGTTGGCGGGTGCTCCTATGTGTTTTGGTCCTTCTTTCCTGTCAAAAGTCTATCGTCCTTATCTCCCCGCCTCCTTTTTGTGTTTGTTACTCTCTTGTAACACCTCTATTCTTCGGCACTTTTAATAAGTGACCTCTTTGTGTTGCAAATGCTGTAAAACTCTAACTGAAAAAAAAACCACTTATTTTTTCCAGCAGGAAAAGGCCATAGTTGCGTTGGTATGTGTGATGCCTCATAATAAGCTATATGTGAAGCACCGTGGTGGAATCAGGCTCTCGTCAATTTTTGGGCACGTAGAGTTATTGGTATCATCTTAAAGCTTGTTCACTTGTCTTTATTTGGATGAGAAAGGTATCAATTTATCTTGAATGCAAGTCGAGATATTTACGAAAGAAGGAGGTGGGGGTCAACTGTTCTCAGAGGAAAAATTAGTGAGAAAATGGCCGCCAAAAACTAGTTATTTCCTTAGCTTAAGAGTCCGTGGTAACGGAAAATTTACATTTTTTGTTCCTTTAATCAACGTTTTTCAGAAAAGTCCCTCAGAAATGAGTTCTTTAATGGGCATGAAAGGTTTTGAGCCAAAAAACAAAAATTTCATAAAAATTCACAAACCTGCGGAAAAATGCAAGTTTCTTCACTTTGATTATTTTGACGAGAGCCTGATTCCACCACGCTGCCTCACATATACACACGGATAGTCTAGCACAACAATCGTACACTGAAAACAGCAACCGACCATGTTGGATATTTATGACACTACTGAATCATAACTTTAATTGCTCATCCTGAAGAGTACCAAATTAATACATTCAAACAAGGAGACATAACTTCGGCAATTAACAATAGTGAACCATACACAGTCATTGCTCATTTAACGACTATTACAGGGATATATAACAGTATGCTTGTCTACTCTCACTTAAAGAACCTCAAGTAATACTTCCTGAGCTCGGGCTGCTCTGTGCCCATTTCATAAGTGATTAGAGTCTTTCTGTCTGTTTGTGTGTGTGTGTGTGTGTGTGTGTGTGTGTGTGTGTGTGTGTGTGTGTGTGTGTGTGTGTGTGTGTGTCTGTGTCTCTGTCTTAGTGCATGTCTTAATGTCTGTGTTAAACTTCTGCTGTGGGTCTCATTCTTTGTCTATTTTATTATACGTCACTCTCACTCCCTGCCGTGCCATCAGTACATCCTCTTTCTCAAATGCTTTTCCCTCACCTTCTCTCTCTCTCTCTCTCTCTCTCTCTCTCTCTCTCTCTCTCTCTCTCTCTCCTTCTCTCTCTCCCTCCTTCTCTCTCTCAATCTTTCTGTGTTGCAACGAGCCTTGTACCGCTCTCTCTTCATCATTCCGTCTGCCGAGCTCTCAATAAGTGCTTCCTTCCTTCCTTCCTTTCTCAGCATGGTTTATTTTTGTCCCCTCTCTCTCTCTGTTTTCGCCCATTCCCCGTCCTTCTCTATTCCAATCCGTCCCTGTCTTAAAATAGCCTCATTGAGTTTGATGTAATCTTCTCGTACAGCACCCACACCCACCCCTTTGTTCACTGTCAGCGGTCTCACTCGTTTCCTTAACCTCTTCACCGCTGTGCAGAGGTACGGCATCGTGATAAAATCAGCCGCTCGTCGAAATAATGAAATCTACGTTTTCCTGCCCGTTGGGACATTATTCTTTAAAGAGAGAGAGAGAGAGAGAGAGAGAGAGAGAGAGAGAGAGAGAGAAATAGAGAGAGAGAAAGAGAGAGAGAGAAAGAGAGAGAGAAAGAGAGAGAGAGAGAGGGAGAGAGAAAGAGAGAGAGAGAAAGAGAGAGAGAGAGAAAGAGAGAGAGAGAGAAAGAGAGAAAGAGAGAGAGAAAGAGAGAGAGACAGACAGACAGACAGACAGACAGACACCCACACACACACATGCACACAGAGAGAGAGAGAAAGAGAGCTAGCTAACGAGCTACCGAACGAGAGAGAGAGAGAGAGAGAGAGAGAGAGAGAGAGAGAGAGAGAGAGAGAGACATTCCTGCGTGGATTTTTTTAAGTACTGAAAATCGTTGATCAAAGGCACATAGATAAATGTGACTTGTGATTTCAATGGATACAACAGCTGTGAAAATCACCAAAGTTTGACGGCTATTTTCTCGCGTACACCAGTCTATCCCCATCCTCTTCCAGTCGCAAATACATTCGCTCGACTTCTATTCAAGATAAATGAGTATGTCTCCCCCCCCCCCCCCAAAGAAAAGCAAGACAAATGAACAAGCTTTAGGATGATACCGACAATAACTCTACATTCATGCCCAAAAATTGACGAGCGCCTGATTCCACAGCGATGACTCACGTATAATTACACTCCCCTGTGTTCTCCCAAACTGATTCACAGCCGTTGTTCCCCAACTGGTTTACAGAGGACCTTCTGGAAGATGTATTGCCACTTGGGCATTTGCTTGTTCTAGATAAGGGGGAAGGAAGAAATATGTGAGGCAGCGTGGTGGAATCAGGCTCTCGTCAAAATAATGAAATTATTGAAATAGATGAAAATAGCAGTTTTCTCTCTGCTTAGCAATTTTTATTAAATTTTTGTTTTTTGGCTCAACACCTTCTATGTCCATTTACAAACACATTCCTTTGAGGATTTCACCGAAAACGTTGATTAAAGGTACAAAAATATAAATTTACTTTTTCCATGGACTCTCCAGCCTTGGAATTTACCAAGCGTTGGCGGCCTTTTTCTCGCTAATTTTACCTTTTAAACCAGGTGATCCCCACCTCCTTCAATCCAAAATATCTCCACTTCTATTGATGATGGATGGGTAATGTTTTCATTGAAAGCAAGACAAATGAACAAGCTTTAACATGATACCAATAACTCAATATGCCCCAAAATTGACGAGAGCCTGATTCCACCACGCTGCCTAACAAATATATTACGCCTTTGTTTGTATCTTTCTTGAATGAACGTGCCTTTTTTTCTTATCCCTGCCATTGTAGGTAGTGGTTGGTTGGCGGGTGCTCTAACGTGGTTTGCTCCTTCTTTCATATTCAGACCAGATTCTATCGTCATTATTTCTTCTCCTTCTTTTTTGTCTGGTTGTTACTCGTGTAATATTTCTACCAATCTTCGACTCTGATCTGACCGTATGGTGTTACAGACGCCGTAAAACACGTTCTAAAGCAAAAACAAATCGCTACCTCAAAATTACAAAGTTCTATTTCCTCAGAATCTAGTTTCGATAAATCTGACGTCAAAAATTTTGACTTTCACAACATGTCAAGCTTTATCGAAAGCAATTCTTTGAATATCTTGATGATGACTCCGAATAATCATACAATTTTGATAGAGCAGATAGAACATAATTATTTTGGTTTCTCACTTCATGATATTAATAATTCAGAACGGCCAAAAATGTCAGAAAGAACTTTATATTTCTGAGGTAACGACATGTAGACAAAGATAGTACAGCCTACGGTGTAGGGTGTAGTATCTTTGATGTAGATGCGAAGGCTGCAGCACCGAAAGAGTTAAACACATTTCTGTGACATTTTTCACATTCTCTGGCTGGTTGCTCCTAGTTTATGTGGTTCACGTAACTGCTCCGAGCGCCTCCCGCAAGACTTTTATTGTGTCCGCAGTGTGCGGAATTTCAAAAAATTATAATTGTTTATGTGTTTTACGCCCCCATTCACTCAATTTAGAGGCTTCAGGAAGCGGTCGTTGATCCTGCTTGTCAGATCTAACAAGGGCTGAGGGGGATACAACAGCCTGGAAGACAGACGAGGACATGCAGTTTAAAATAACATCAACAACAAAACAAAACAAAGCAAAACAAAAAGAAACAAAGCACTTTGAAACTCAGGAATTGAACTGGCGGAGTGGGTGGTTGGTGGGTGTTCTGGTGTGGTTTGCTCATTCTTTCCTATCAAACAGCTATCGTCCTGATCTATCCTCCTTTTTTATGATTTTTCTCTTGTAACACATCTAATCTTTGGCGCTTATATGACATTATAGTGTTGCAAGTGCCGTAAAACTATTACAAATACTGGACGAACTTGTGTCTTCGGCGTGCAACAAAGAAGAGTCAGCAAGGTTCACGAAATGATCGAAATTGTGTCAAGGGGGCGTAAAAACACAAACACAAAAACATATGTGAGGCAGCGTGGTGGAATCAGGCTCTCGTCAAAATAATCAAAATGAAGAAACTTGCATTTTTCCGCTGGTTTGTGAATTTTTATCAAATTTTTGTTTATCGGCTCAACACCTTTCATGCCCATTAAAGAACTAATTTCTGTGTAGATTTTTCTGGAAAACGTTGATTAAAGGCACATAAAATGTAAATTTTTAGTTACCACGGACTCTTAAGCTAAGGAAATAACTAATCTTTGGCGGCCATTTTCTCACTAATTTTACCTCCGAAAACAGGTGACCCCCACCTCCTTCTTTTGCAAATATCTCGACTTGTATTAAACATAAATGGATATTTTTTTCATTCAAATAAAGACAAGTGAACAAGCTCTAAAATGATACCAATAACTCTACATGTCTAAAAATTGACGAGAGCCTGATTCCACCACGCTGCATCACATCTATTCAAAGCTTGACAGGGCCATTGAAATGCCTTGGGGTTTTCCGGACAATAATTGATTTTACTCTCATTTTTTACAAATTGGAGCAAATTATATCCGTAAACCATGTAGGTAAATACAGAAATACTGTGTACGTGATGATTATGAGATAGGGTAAACGTGGAGCCAACAAGAGCTATAAAACATCACTCTTAGTGTCTTAGAAATGCATGTATTCACAGCGAATCAATATTCACATGTCACATTATGAATACCTCAAGGGCATGTGACTTTCGAAGTGCAAGAAACTGACAGTGGGAAGAAGCAATTGGACCCCCTTTCCTTGTTCAAAATCCGGAGTGTTATGAATGGTGATGTGACGTCATCGTATTGCAGTGAGGGCGTGTCCTGACGCCCTCATGAATAGCCATTGAATAGGCGAGCGATGTGAATAGGCAATGCTGCATGGCGAATGTTGCCCATGGACTTGTATACATAAGAACAAACTATTCGCGAACGTTATTCGAATAGCACGAACTGTGACTTTCATTTCCCCAAATCGCTCAACCACCTTTGCCATAGAATCCAAATGGACAAACACAGAGTACGTGTTATTTCTGACAAGTGCTTGATTAAAGGGAAAACAATTACATTTTAAAAAAAATAATTGTTTTAAAGCAGACTGGGTATGAAGAAAGCCCCCCCCCCCCAAACCACACACACACACACACACACACACACACACACACACACACACACACACACACACACACACACACACACACACACACACACACACACATCCATTTTTATTCATACGAATACGGGCAACATTTTACAGCGCTGAGAAATATTGACGAAGATCAGGTTGCTTTTTTTTGTCCGCCACTTATACTCTTTTGGGTGTCGCTGGAGATCAGCTGGCAAGCTGAAAAATGTTGAACGAAAACCAGACGAAGAACCTGAATGGAACATTATGGGAAGCATTGAATGGCATGATGAGCTGAAGGAATCTGCTTGAACTTGAAGAAAAAGAGAAAGGTGCACTGGGAAAGCGAAAGACGTAGAAGTGGTTCTACCACAGATTTCCCAGAGCTGAGTCAGGAAGAGAAAGGAACATCGCTCCCCATCCCCACTCCCAGGGCAGTGCTATTGACTGATGTGTGTCTTTCAAAGGGGGTTATTAACATGTTCTTATGCACAGTAGAATTGTAAATGGGCTGATTTATCAATGTCAGGCTCATACTGTACCGGGGCAACATAGGGGGAACTGTTGTTTTTTTTTCTTTCCTCATCCTTGCTATCGTCATTTTTTTTACTTCTTCTGTATTCTTGTCACTTTCTTGTTAACTACTAATTCAGAGGTGGCTTGAAAATCGAAGCAGACTGTGTGCTGTTGAGGCTAGAGAGGTGAGCAGAGTAAGCCTGATTTCCCATTTGAACTTCTCTGTTGACATTCACCTCTTGGCGCTCATATGACCTTATTATGCTGTTGCGAGCTCCGTAAAACTTTACTAAAACTAACAAAAAACTGATTCTATCCACTGCAATGTTAGCCCGATTCTTTTGACTTCCAAAGTCAGCAGTTACTTGAACCTGTGCTTCTCTGAACTCAAACTCAAACAGTAATAGAAGAAGAAAAAGAAGAAGAAGAAGAAGAAGAAGAAGAAGAAGAAGAAGAAGAAGAAGAAGAAGAAGAAGAAGAAGAAGAAGAAGAAAGAAGAAGAACAAGAAGAAGAAGAAGAACAAGAAGAAGAAGAACGAGAAGAAGAATTCTATCAACAGCCATGTTTACTGGACTCTGTCGATTTCATTAGTCAGCAGTGACTTAAACCCGTCATTCTCTTAACTCAATATTAATAATCATCATCATCCGGTGCCTTGCCGACTGGCGTGGGCAACCATGGACCTCCACTTCACCCTGTCCTTCGCTGCAGCAATGGTGTCTGTTGTTCTTGCTGCTCCCAACCATGTTGTCATCTTGTCCAGTATCTTTTCCCTCTGTCTGCCTCTGCCTCTCTTTCCATCAAACTTTCCTGTTGTGACAATATTAATAATAATAATAATAATAAATTGCATTTGTATAGCGCATGCCCCCACCCGAGAGCAGGCTCTATGCGCTTTACACTGAGACCATGTTATACTGTCTTATAATACTCTCATTAGTATTAAGAATAATACATTGTAATTCTATCTTCTGTCATATTTCCCGTATTCTTTCGACTTCCGAAGTCAGCTGTGACTTACTTCTCTCAACTCAAACTCAAACGTGTCCTTCGTGACTCATTGGAGCAGAGGAAGATAGGACTACAGCTAAAATTACTTAAACGCAATCCCACATCATCACTCATCCCCTCCATTATTTCTAAAAATCATGTTTGCTCTCAACATCTACAATCCTTGAATCTCTGTCTGTAACAGTTACATATAATACTAAGTGTTACGAAATACACTGTTGGACACTATCATGTGTCGGTGGCCTAGAAGTGGTTAGGCTCTCGGACTCGCAACCGTAAGGTCGTGGGGTCGAATCCCGTCAGGGACCCGACGTTGTGTCCTTGGGAAAGGCACTTTGCACAAATTTTCCTCACTTAACCGAGGTGGGAATGGGTACCCAGCTATAGACAGTGAAAGATCTTGTCAGTTTGATAGTGTTTGAGCGCGTGAAATCCGCAGCTTGCACTGTATGCTGAATGTTCTCAGAGGGTCTGCTCGGGTAATAACAATTGTAAAGCGCATAGAGCATGCTCTTGAGCATGGATATGCGCTATATAAATACAATTATTATTATTATCATGCGTAATTTTTTGTACAAATCAGATAGCGCCAGTCTCATATAAATGGGCAAGGGATAAAAAGTTTTAAAAAACAAAACTGAAACTCAAACCTTTATTGTACCCTCTTTAACATGAAGGATAAGTACATTGGCAGTATGTTAGTGTATTAAGAGCCTATAAATGGCTGCTTGCACTGTATGCTTCTCAGGAACCTGAAGTTGTTTCAGAATGTTCTCAGGTCTGCTGGAGTAATAGTATAGACTGTGAAGCGCATAGAGCTTGCTGTTGAGCTCGGATTTACGCTATAAAAATGCTATTCATTATTTTTAGTATAATTCTATCCTCAGCCATGTTCCCTGGACTCTTTCGACTTCCGAAGTCACGGGTGACTTCTTTTAATTAAAACTTCGACTCTCTTATACTCTTTAATACTCTCATTAACATTAAGAACGATATTTCTATCCTCAGCCATGTTCCCCGGACTCTTTCGACTTCCGAAGTCAGCAGTGTGCAGCCTACAATAACGCCACTTATGGGGGCAAACTCTACACTTGGCTCCCTTACACGGACCGCAAGAACCCTTGTACTCTCTACTGCATTCCTAAAGGCACGCGCACAGTGGTCCGGCTGGCGCCCAAAGTGCTGGATGGCACGAGGTGCAAGTTCAACGCACATGACATGTGCATCAGCGGGAAATGCTGGGTGAGTGCACGGCGCTAGAGATAGAGATAATGTGTGAGGGAGTGGGTGAGTGAGTGTCTAAGTGATAAATGTGTGGGTGGTGGAAGTGTGTGCACGCGCGCTTGTACTCGCCATGCCCCACGCGCGTGTAAATATTTGCGCGTGTGCACGGGCGCGCGCACACGCACACACATACACACACACACACATGTATATATATATATATATATATATATATATATATATATATATATATATATATACACGCTCGCGCACACGCACAGAGAGAGAGCTGTATGTGAGAGAGAAATAGATTAAGTGAGGGAGAGAGAGAGATAGAGAGAGAGAGAGAGAAAGAGAGAGAGAGGGAGAGAGGGATAGAGAGAGAGAAAGAGAGAGAGAGAGAGAGAGAGAGAGAGAGAGAGAGAGAGAGAGAGAGAGAGAGAGAGAGAGAGACAAACGTTTAGTTCAAATCCTCGGACGTGTGATAGGAAGATAAGAAGCAGTTTGTCCATAGGGTCTCGGGGGATGCAGGTATAGGTTATCTATTAACTGTTCACCCTTTTAATACATGTTTTGCATTTCGTAGGACATCAGGACAATATTGAAAGTAATGCATTTCCATGACGTGCTGGTTCGTCAATATGTGGCACTGAAAGGGTTAAGAGAATATGTACTGCGCTCTCAAAATATCTTGTTAATTGTTTCGGAAGTTTGTTCTTGTATATTATTATGATCAGTTACAGCCCTGTTTTTGACTAAACAAAGCGAACAGTCTAGACTGCGTTTATCTACAGATTTCTTTCATGGTTGTGCCTTGGATGTCCTCGGCTGTAATGTTCCAGCAGATGTCCCGTATCGTAGGCACCTTTACCTGCTTCCCTCAAGTTATATGTCTTCCAGCCTCTGTGTTGTGGCTATAAAAAGAAAGCGTTTGGCAGTCGTACGCAGGAGACCCCGAGTTCGATTCGGGTGCGGGGATAATTGGTCGCTTCTAATGACAAGCGGGCTAACTCAGACTTCGGGGTTTCCAGAAATCTTAGCCTATACCAAAAGTGAGCATTGCCCTACGTATAGGAGAAGTTTGGTTTCATAGATGTGTATATTTGTTTGGTTACAGAGAAAACTCTCCTTGTCTTTTAAAGAAACTGATCAAGGGACAAAAGCTTTTCCTTCGATTTTCTCAAAACAGTTTTTTTCGGGATAGCCAACTTGTGCTTAAAAGCGACCAATTTGTATCGAACATATCGCTGTTTCTGATGGGATGCTGTGTCCGTCTCAGTCCCGTCTCAGTCCTGTCTCAGCCCGGGTTGGCTCTGAACCACAGGGTCGAAGCCCGCTTCCAAAATAATCTAAATGTGAGACAGCGAGGTGGAATCAGGCTCTCGTCAATTTTTGGGCATGTAGAATTATTGGTATCATCTTAAAGCTTGTTCACTTGTCTTTATTCGGATGGAAAAAAATTTCCATTTATCTTGAATACAAGACGAGATATTTGCGAATGAAGGAGGTGGGGGTCATCTGTTTTCAGAGGTAAAATTAGAGAGGAAATGGCCGCCAAAGATTAGTTATTTCCTCAGCTTAAGAGTCCGTGGCAACTGAAAATTTACATTTATTGTGCCTTTAATCAACGTTTTTTCCGAAAAATCCACACAGAAATGAGTTCTTTAATGGGCATGAAAGGTGTTGAACAAAACAAAAAAAATTTGATTAAAATTCACAAACCTGCGAAAAAATGCAAGTTTCTTCACTTTGATTATTTTGACGAGAGCCTGATTCCACCACGCTACCTCACATATTGTGTCGATTGGGGCGTAAAAAGCACTTTCATTAAAATAAGGATCTTACTCGTTTCACTTGTTATCGATGACGCAGAAACATAGTATAATGTCCGAAAAGCAAACCTTAAGCAATGTTCCAGCATTTTCCGAACCGTTGCGTTGCACACACTTCAGAGACACGAATTTTGACATTCAAAGTAAGCATGTTGTTGCCTGCATTTTAAAAGTTCAGATTAAAAAATAAATTCAAATGAAAAATCTGTATGAATTATGAGGTTATGCTTTTATTTTTCTCGTGCTGTCGAATGATCGGAATGCGCGAGTTGGTGGTTGGCAGGTATTTTTGTTAGATTGGACATTCTTTTTTTAAAAAAAAAACAATCAAATTTCAATATATCTGTATCATTATCTTTCTCGTCTCTCTTCTTTTTCTTGGGAGGACTTCCGTAACGAGCGACCACTATGAGACAGAGCAGAATTGAGGGCTTGGGGTAGGGGTAGGGGTAGGGGTAAGGGTAGGGGTAGGGGTAAGGGTAGGGGTAGGGGTAGGGGTAGGGGTAGGTCTAGGCCTCTTCTTTATTGTGTTTGATGGGGTGGTCGCTCGTTACGGAAGTCCTTCCTTTTCTATGTTTGTTACTCTTTAGCAACAACTCCAATCTTCGCACCAGTAAGACCTGTGAGGCAGCGTCGTGAAATCAGGCGCTCGTCAAAATAATGAAAGTCAAGAAATTATCATTTTCCCTCAGGGTAGGGTTTTTTTTAATCGAATTTATTTTTGGTTCAACACCTTTCAATATGCCCTTTAAAGAGCACATTTCTGTGAGGATTTTATGGAAGAACGTTGATTTAAGGCAGAAAAAATGTAAATTTTCAGATTTTATGGGCTCTGAAGCTAAAGAAATAACTGAACTTTGGAGGCAATTTTCTCACTAATTTTACCTCTGAAAACAGGTGACCCCCACCTCCTTCATTCGCAAATATTTCGACTTGTTTTCAAGACAAATGGATATTTTGTTCATCCAAATAAAGACGAGTGAACAAGCTGTAAGATGATACCAATCACTCTACATGCCTAAAAATTGACGAGAGCCTGATTCCACCACGCTGCCTCACAGTCCTGTTTGTGTAGCAAAAACCGTAAAACTTTCTAAAACTAAACTAAGAATCCGTGTCCCCAATTAGTTAATTAATTCCTTCTGAGGTTCTCACTTTTCCGTCCTCAGAAAGTGGGATGTGACCATCGATTGGACTCTCCCATGACCCTTGACCTATGCGGCGTGTGCGGGGGAAACAACTCGTGCCTGAACAACGGTACAAAGGGGCGCTACCACTGGGTGGAGATAGGCTTGTCTCCCTGCTCGGCGTCCTGTGGTGTAGGTAAAGCTTCATCTCTATAGTACTCTCTATACTATCACTCGTCATGTTATTATTTATTGATCATCCTTTCGATTTTTTTTCTCATATATTCACATTTCGACAGCTTGATTCAGTTGTTGTGCAATTCTTGAATGTTTGAAACGCATGGAAGTTTTTCAAGTTTATTTTTGTTGTTGTTATCGTTGTTTGTGTTTGTGTGTGTGTGTGTGTGTGTGTGTGTGTGTGTGTGTGTGTGTGTGTGTGTGGTCTGTGGGTGCTCTGGTGTTGTTTATTTCTCCTATCCTATCAAACATCTATCGTCCTTACCTATCCTCATTTTTTTGTGTTTGTTACTCTCTTGCAACACCAGTGATCTACAGCACTTATATGACCTAATTGCGATGTAAATGCCGTTAGGCGCTTACTAACACAAAAGGTGTTGTTGTTTTGTTTGTTTGTTTGTTTTTCATTTATTTTTCTCCTCTTTTCGTGTGCAGGAAGATCATGAAACTGTGACTAATATAAATAGTATTTTTTGTATCATTAGAACTAAGTCTGGCAGAGATCTTCAAATCGCCTGCTGGATGAAGCGAATCCAAATATCTCGCGTGTCAAAGTAGAAGACTATTGGGTGGAATCGGTTGGAATACCATGCCAAAGCTCGAGAAAAAGTGAGACTAGAACTGACAATATTGCATAATATAGGGTCGAGAACAAGCTTAGCCAATTCAGGGCAATCCGCAGAGGAGTACGACAAGGATGTTTCTTGTCTCCGGATCTCTTTGATTTATACAGCAAAATGGTTCTGCGTATTGTCTGGGAGGATAAATACACGGTAAATGAATAAATTACTTTTTATTAATCCTGAGGGAGAAATTTAGGTTGCAATAGCAAATATACATATATAAATACATACATAAATGCCTACATACTTTACTTTACTTTACTTTTCCGATCCAGCAGCCATTTGGGTTCTAGCCCTTTGTCTGAAATGTCTACATAAATACGCAATATTACACCAATGCAGAACAATTTGACTAACATGCCATTGCTCGTCGCCCTAAATCTCGTGTCACCGACACTTGCTTGACTTTACTTTTGAGACTGAACTCACTACTGCCTTAGATAAAGGTGTCAAAGTGGGTGACCGCTATATCAACAACCGACGGTACGCTGACGATACCGTCTTGATAGCTGATTCTGAGTCCCAAGCTGTAATTATATGTACAGAGATTCTAACTAGAGTGACAGGGAAATGCGAAGAGAACGCGCTACAATAACTGAATTCTAAAGAAACGGAATGCATGGTGATCTCAAAAAGTGCCTAAATCCCTGAATGCAACATCTTTTGTAGACACGAAAGAATAAAACAAGTCAACAGGCTTTCAATACCTTGGTTGCACCATTGCACCAGATTACACCATAAAATGAAGCACAAAAGTCACGCAGCAGCTTACATAATATTATGGCCCATGGAAAAGCAGTTGTCCAAAATCTTTTTTCTCTGACCTCTTGCCCCCGCCCAAACGTCTTGTAAACTTCATGTACATTGGTCTTGTTATTGGCCCTGTGAATGTGTGTAGTCACTAGAAGGTTCTCATCCTGTTGGATCCGATCAGGGTTTGGTTGGGCTGGGTTTTTTAAATTGTATATTCCCCTTTTGCTTCCTCTACCCCAACTTCACAGTAATCGTTGTGCATGTAATTTTTCCCTTGGTTTCTCGTACATTTTTTATTTTCTTTGGCGACTTACAGCACCCGTAATTTATTCCTGCTTTTTCATATTTTGTCGTTGGTCCTAACGATACCTAGTATTCCCAACTTTTGTTTGTTACAAAGAAATTAATTCACCACATCCGGTTAGGTAACGTCGGGAAGGAGGTACTTAGCCACCCACAACCCTTTTTTTTAAACACGTATTTTGCGAGTTCTCACGTGCAATGTAGAGAAATGAGTCGGTTTATGACGCGCCCAGCTCTTTCCCCGGGTCTCATTACTTAAAGTAAACAGTACTTTCCTCCACCAGGCTTGCATCCGCCCGCTCTACAGTTTTGTATTGCTTACTTCTGGTAGAACTTTTCGTTTCCTAGACTTCTCCGAAATGTGTACGTGTTAACAAGTGTTTGAAAGGCGCCGCTCGTAGGTCCTGCCTCTTTTACTCTCACGTTTCCTTCTTCATGTCTTAGACGTCTCTGAAGTTTACAAGTGTCAGCAAATGGGAAGACATCGCTGGCAGGCCCTGTACTTTTGTTTTGTTTTTCTCTTATAGTTTTTTTTAGGTCGTTTTTTTTTCTCCTATTTTTTTTAAGGGGGGGGGTAGGGACTGTCTATCTGGGTTTCCTCAGCCAACTCTAAAGATTTAGATCTAGTAAGAGTTTAACGGCACTTGAAACACAATAAGGTCATATAAGTGCCGAAGATTGGAGGTGTTACAAGAGAGTAACAAACACATAAAAGAAAGAGGGGAGATAAAGATGATAGTTTTTTTAATAGGAAAGAAGAAGAAAACCACACCAGAGCACCGGCCAACCACCCACCAACTCTAAACGACGGGTGATGTATTGATGTGTTTCTCTTATCTGAAAGAAATGACCAGAAATGCCACGTATTGATGTATATTTGTGAGGCAGCGTGGTGGAATCAGGTTCTCGTCAAAATAATCAAAGTGAAGAAACTTGCATTTTTCACACGTTTGTCAATTTTTATCAAATTTTTGTTTTTTTGGCTCAAAACCTTTCATGGCCATTAAAGAACTCATTTCTGGGTGGATTTTTATGAAAAACGTTGATTAAAGGCACAAAGAATGTAAATTTTCATTTACCACTGACTCTTCAGATAAGGGAATAACTATTCTTTGGCCGCCATTTTCTCACTAATTTTACCTCTGAAAACAGATGACCCCCACCTCCTTCATTCGCAAATATCTCGACTTGTTTTTAAAATAAATGGATATTTTTTATCACTCAAATAAAGACAAGTGAATAAGCTTAGGATGATACCAATAACTCTACATGCCCAAAAATTGACGAGAGCCTGATTCCACCAAGCTGCCTCACATATTTCAAATGCCCGTGAGTCTGGTGATGCTTGAAGCAGATTGACCTACCCCTGACCGTGGTAGTTGTGGAGATTAAAGTAATTATTGGTTTTGTTTCCCTACTCGCATTCTAGTTCAATAATGAAGTGGGGAGTGTGAGTGGTTGGTGGGTGCTCCTTTGCAGTTTGCTCATTCTTTCTTATCAAACATCTATCTTCGTTATATCTCCTTTTGTGTTTATTACTTTGTTGTAACACCACTAATTTCGGCTTTGATGTATACTAATTATGTTGCGAGTATCGTAAAACTCTTACTAAAACTAAATTGAAGTGTGAAGTTTACTACAAACAGTTTGTAGAATGATCCTTTCTAACTCAGCTAAATATGAAGTATTCAATTCTGCGCAAGCCTTAAGAAAACAGGAAAAACGGAAGGGTCTTTTTTTTAAAAAAATGTTTTGAGTTATACCCTACAGAGGCTTGATGACACTACAGTTTAGCAAAACATGGTATTTTAAAGAGAGAAATTCTGCACCCCCAAAGCTTCTTCTCAGAGTTATCAACATTTATGGGCGAAATGCTGCTCTGCAAATTTGTCTTCATAAAGTCGACGACATTAAAAGGAGAAATTAATCCTGTACAACCAATGTGTCTTCCCAAAGCTGGCAACATTGAAAAGAGAAATTCTGCACTTCCAATCTGTCCTCATAGAGTGAGCAACATGAAAAGGGGAAATGCTGCCTTGCCAATGTGTCTTCATAGAGTGAACGACATTCAAAGGAGAAGTTAATTCAGCACTACTAATGTGTCTTCACATAGCCAGAAACATCGAAGGGAGAAATTCTGCAATACCAGAGCTGGCAACATTGAAAAGAGAAATTCTGCTCTTCCAATGTGTCCTCATAGAGTGAGCAACACCGAAAGGGGAAATTAAAAGGAGAAGTTAATTCTGCACTACTAATTATGTGTCTTCTCATAGCAAGGAACATCAGAGAGAGAAATTCTGCTTTACCAGTGTCTTCACATAGCAAGCAACATCAGAGGGAGAAATTCTGCTTTATCAGAGTGTATGCACGTAGCCAGAAACAATAAAGGGAGAAATTCTGCACTACACAGGTGTCTTCCCAAAGCTAGCAACTTTTTGTCTGTTGCGTCTGCCATCTCAACAAGTGCAAACACTTCACGAGACAGTATCAGGTTTCCTCCCTTGGGTAACCAATGACATTTTGTTGTGGGAGTTGGGAGAAGTTGCTGTTTCGCCTGTCACAACCGTTTCGCTGTATCGTGTCGTGTTGCGTTACGGGCTGGATTACAACGATAATGTCAAGCAGTTCAAACTTCTGGCAATGTCGAGATGGGGTGAAGGAGGCAGGGTTAAGTAGGGGTGATTGTTTTACATCGTTCTGGTTTATTTTTGGTCTGGATTGGTTGCAGTTTCGTCTTAGTTTACTGCAGCTTTTTAAACTCCAAATAATTGTTTTTCACTCGCTAATCCTCCGCTCATCTCCCTTCATCGTTACTTTGTTCATTTCTCGTTGCTCTTTTCCATCATTGGTATAATGTGATGCTACGGGGAACATTCCCATACCTTACAAGAAAGAAATGTTAGAAACAGGTTATGTACGCTCAGGCCCTGAATGCTCCTACACCTTTCGCAAAGTATGCATGTACAATTTCTGGTTCACTTTGTTAAGCAGATTATTGTGAATAATATATTTTACTTGTTTCATTTCCGACTGTGCCGTCAATTTGAAGTTATGGTTTTGAGTTGTATAAGTTGCCTTTACTCTGACTTTGACTCCTTTTCTGATTTAAAAACAATGTACATGGTGTATTTTCAAATTTGATTGGGCTAATTTATATGTATTTTTTAAAAATCTATTTATTTATTTATGTATTTTTGGGTGGGCGTGGGGTGTTGCTATTATGCACAGTTTCTTTTAATTTTAAGTTTGATTTTTTTGAGTAAACCACTGTCCTTTTAAATTAAACAATAGCTATTCTTTGAGGTGCCAAGACCTGCGCGATTTCTTTGTTGTATGAATATGCCTAAAAATTGTTGGGTTGTAGCTAATACAAAATAATCTGTAGCTGTTCAGTGCGGTACCTACGAGCGTCTGTGAGGTAATGTCACACCCTGCGCCATTGCTCTTATTTATAGAAGATAATTCTAGGCTCGACTTCCTTGATGGGAAGTTAGTTGTGTCGAGAGCTGATGGAATCAGGTGCTCGTCAAGTTTTGGGGCATGTGAGGTTATGGGTGTCATCTCAAAGCCTGTTCATTTGCCTTGCTTTTGGTGATTAAAGAAATAGCCATCTATGTTGAGTAGACGTTGAGTTATTTGCGATTGAAGGAGGTGAAGTCTTTAAAAAATACCCATCTATGTTGAGTAGACGTTGAGTTATTTGCGATTGAAGGAGGTGAGGTCTTTAAAAAATACCCATCTATGTTGAGTAGACGTTGAGTTATTTGCGATTGAAAGAGGTGAGGGTCGCCTGGTTTCAGGGGTAAAATTAATGAAATAGTGGCATCAAAGTTTGGTAACTTCAGTAGTATGAAAATCTTTGAAAACTGAAAATATACAATTTTTTTTGGTCTTTAATCAATGTTTTCCCAATATAATCTACACCTAGACGTGTTTTTAAATGGACGTAAAAGGTGTTGAGCCGAAAAAGAACATTAGAAAAAGGTCCCCAATGACTAGAAAAATGTCAGTTTCCTTGATTTAATTATTTTGACGAGCGCCTGATTTCACCACGAAGCTTCACATTTTATCGAGTGTCTTCGTCTGTCTCCTGGAGGTTTTGATGTCTCACTCTGCCTAGGTCGTCCCTGGTGGGCAGATCGAAACACCTACTTACTTACCTGTCCCCGTGGTTTTATGCGCTCTGCCTAATTTAGCAAAATTTGATCATTTTTTTGCATAATTTCTGAGTATTTTCCTAAATCTTTCTTTGTTAGAATTAACAGAATCGCATAATTTCACGTTTTTGGGCTCAGTTTGCATAATTTCAGAATTTTTCTTGCATAAAATGACGGGGACAGACTTACTTACTCTCTCCCCTTACCGTCAGGTAAATAAGGCGGAGAGCAGTCGACGCCACGCTTGCCTGTCCCTAGTCACATTCTCCAAATTCGATATATCCAGGCCCTAGGTGATTGCCTCATTCTTTATTGTGCTTCTATAGCTTCCAGTTGGTCTTCCTCATTTTCTTTTTCCAGTTGGTCTCCAATACCATGAGTGATAGGGCAATCGTGTCTTTGGCATTCTTAGAACATGTCCTAAACATCTCCATGACATTTCCATCTTCTCCTTTTAATGGTCGTGTTGATAGCTTCAATTCAAGCTCTTTCCAACACTTCGTTATTTGTTATAAATGAGATCGAAACATCTCTCTTCCAAATGGTATAAGTTGTATCGGTGGTTGCTTAAAACATGCTGTATATTCTGGAGCTTGCCTTCTGTCCTTTTGTCGACTTCATTCCAATCTCAGCATTGCTCGTGCTCTCCCAGTTTTTGTTTTTTTATACGTCCTCTACTCTTCGAAAATGTATAAGTGTTATCAAGTAGTGGGAGGCTCTACTGTTAGGTCCTATCTCTCTTACTGTTAGGTCCTATCTCTTTTACTGTTAGGTCCTATCTCTTTTACTCTTCCTTTGTGCGTTTTGGTTTTCTATCCATCTTATCATTTTACTCTTCCAGTTTTATTTTCTTTCTACATTACCCCTTTACTTACGTGGTTGACGGGTGCTCTGGTGTGGTTTGCTCCTTGTTTCCTGTCAAACTTCTATCGTCCTTATCTTTCCTCAGTGGGTAGTTGACGGGTGCTCTGGTGTGGTTTGCTCTTTGTTCCCTGTCAAACTTCTATCGTCCTTATCTCTCTTCGTTCTTTTCTTTGATGTTGGACTCTGGTAAAACCTCTAATCTTCGGCACACAACATGAGTCCTCGTGACCGTATTGTGTTGCAAGTGCCGTAAAACTCGTGCTTAGTTTAAAGTGTAACTAGACTTCCCTCTATCTGTTACTAAGTAAGCGTGATTGTGTAGACATAATGCTTCTGCTTCTTCGAACAACCATCAAGTCCGTGGGTGGTTGGCGGGTGCTCTGGTGTGGTTTCCTCCTTCTTTCCTATCAAACATCTATCGTCCTGATTTCTCCTTCTTTTTTTGTGTTTGTTACTCCCTTGTAACACCTCTAAACTTCGGCACTTATATGTCCTTATTGTGTTGCAAGTGCCGTAAAACTCTTTCTAAAACGAACAACCATCCAGTCTAGCCTTGACCTCTGCCCTCTCTCCCAGGTTCACAGACGTACCAGTACCGGTGCCGTGACAGACTGACCGGGAACCAGGTGCCCGACGGTCGCTGTGTCAGGAGCCCAAAGCCTAACGGACGTCAGAAGTCATGCTTTCGCCGCCAGTGCCCGCCTGTGTGAGTCTGGGACATAGACCTTAGCTTTTATCTAGACTGCGCACTGTAGAGTATTTCCGGAATCATAATGAGGCGTGCCATTGAGCCAAATGATGGGCAGAAGGGTGTGTGTGTGTGGAGGGGGGGGGGGGGTAGGGTGCGCGCTGGACTATAGTGAGACACGTTTATGTATGCTCCCTACCGGTACATTTACTTTAGATTTTACTTGAAACTAGAATATCTGCTGTTAACCTGGGGGTTTTTTTGGTGGTTTTTTGGTTCTTTTTTGTTTTGTTTTTTATTCAAAGAGAGGCAGACACAACTAAAAGTGTAGTTCACACTTTTGCAGTTGCGAGCGCCATAAATCCTCTACTAAAACTACCCCCCCCCCCCACACACACACTTTTTTAAACCCCAGAACTGGGATATTGGAACGGAATAACAGTCTATTTTATTAATACACGCAGTGCAAATCTGATTTATTGAAAACAACAAAAGCGCTCGCTTTTGCGTTGATCACTTTCCTTCTTCTAACGGCAACGACGCTGCCCAAAGTGCGTACGCTTCGCAGAGAAAATTTTGTCGAGAGTGAAGATCAGCGGCCATCGCAGTGCGCGGTGTTAGATACCAATAGTGCACGTCAGTAGTCAGGAATGGTCGGGATGTCTGCCGGTGGGTGGTAGTTCTGGGCGGCTAGCTTCCTGATTGTTGAAAGCTAGGAATCGTAGGAATCGACTCCGAATCCAATTACTCACTTTCTAATAATGTGATTTTTTTCGATGGTTACCTGGTTGGTTCCGAATTAGAACATCTTCAGGATTTAAGATAACCTTGATTTCGGAATACTACAAAGCATCAACTTTTATTTTTTTTAAATAAATTCTTTAAAAAGGAAGATTTCAATGGTAAGAGTAACTGGCAACTGTTGGTTTACGTAAAAAGGAGACGACACTTTATTTCCGTAGTATTAACAAAGATAGTACAGCCTACAGTAGGGTGTAGTATCTTTGGAATTAATCGAGGGAATCGGTTCTGGAATCGATTTTTCGTCCAGCTCAAGTGGGTGGTGGTTCTGTGATAAACGTGATGGACGGAGGTGCTGAAGGGTGTTCTTCCCCCCGAAGTGCGGTCGTGTCCTGCACGCCCCCAGCGCCCCGGGCGAGATAACGGGATTGGTCGGCCGACCGGCAGTCACGTGTGTGTGGTGCGGTGGAGTCGGTCGGTAGTCTTTTCTTTTGTTTTGTTTTTGTTTTTGTTTTTGTTTTACTCTTTTTTTTGCTTGGTTGTTGTTGTTGCTGTTGTTGTTATTGGTGTTGTTGTTGTTGTTGTTGTTGTTGTTGCTGTTGTTGTTATTGTTGTTGTTGTTGTTGTTGTTGCTGTTGTTGTTGTTGTTGGTGTTGTTGTTGTTGTTGTTGTTGGTGGTGGTGGTGGTGTTGGTGTTGGTGTTGTTGTTGTTGTTGTTGTTGTTGGTGGTGTTGTTGTTGTTAGTGGTGGTGTTGTTGTTATTGGTGTTGTTGTTGTTGTTGTTGTTGCTGTTGTTGTTGTTGGTGGTGGTGTTGGTGGTGTTGGTGGTGTTGGTGTTGTTGTTGTTGTTGGTGTTGTCGTTGTTGTTGTTGTTGTTGATGATGATGGTGGTGGTGGTGGTGTTGTTGTTGTTGTTGTTGTTGTTGTTGTTGTTGTTGTTGTTGTTGTTGTTGTTGTTGTAAGTGTTGTATTAATGTTTCTTTGGATCGAATCGGAGCCTGCCAGATTACTCACCCTTCAAAGATAGTGAAAAAAAGCTACCACACTTTGGTACAATACGACTCATTCGACTGATTCCGACCTTGGAAATATCGAATATATTTGATTTGAAGGTCACTGTCGAATGTTGTTGTATTCGGTTGTGTTGTGCCAAAATGATAACTTTTGCCCCATCCACGAAGGAAAATCGGGATGGCCCCTACTCCTCCCGATGAATCCGACTGGGTATAATTAGGTCTGACGGTCTTTCCAGAGATGCATACTGCAGGCTTTTGTGCTCTGGCCCTAACGCTTTTCGCCGTTGCACACGGAAGACATGAGTTGTTTTGTTTTGTTTTTATGTAAGTGTTTTACGGCGCTCGCAACTGCACAAGGTCATATGAGCACGCGGGACACATTAAACTTTTTCAGTTGTAAGGACATTTTGAATTTTGCCTGGGTGGCGGCCAAAGCCTACTCTTTATCGATTTTAGACCACCAAGGGATCTTTAACGTGCGCAATTTGCACACGGGCCCTCCGAGATTTTTCACCCTTGCCCGAGATAGCTAGGTGTAGATCTTTCATCTCTCCTACCAGAAGATCAGGGGTGTGACTGAAAGACAGCAGTAAGAAGAGCCAAGGAGTAGCAGTAAAAAGGCTGCAGAAAGAGTCAGGAGCCCAGAGGAGGGGGCAAAGGAGGAGAGCGGGAGGGGCCGAAAGATGAGACGAAAGCAGACGACAGAACATTGCTAGAGAGCAGGAAAAGAGGTTAAAGGAGATACTTTTAGAGAAGAAAATCTTTCGGTCGTTACCTGGATTCGAACCCGGGGCCTTTGAATGAGAGGCCAACACCTTAACCTCTAGGCCACGAGAGCCCCAGACGCGAGTTTGCTTCTCGTTTCAGGAAGTTACTCTTATCGACCTGTGTCTCTAATGTGAGGCAGCATGGTGGAATCAGGCTCTTGTCAAAATAATCAAAGTGAAGAAACTTGCATTTTCCACAGTTTTGTGAATTTTTATCAAATTTTTGTTTTTTGACTCAACACCTTTCATGCCCATTAAAGAACTCATTTCAGGGAGGATTTTTTTCTGAAAAGCATTGATTACAGGCACAAAAATGTAAATTTTCATTTACCACGGACTCTTAAGCTAAGGAAAAAACTAATCCTTGGCGGTCATTTTCTCACTAATTTTACTTCTGAAAACAGGTGGTGACCCCCCCCCCCCTCTACCCACCTCCTTTTTTCGCAAATATCTCCACTTGTGATTAAGATAAAATGGATAATTTATTCATCCACATAAAGACAAGCGAACAAGCTTTAAGATGATACCAATAACTCTACATGCACAAAAATTGACGAGAGTCTGATTCCACCACGCTGCTTCACCTATGTCTGTTGCAGTTCTGTGGTCCTCTCAGCCGAGGTTAGCTGTGGTAGGGTGGTTGGGGGGGGGGTCAGATTGTTCATGTAAGTAGGGGCGCGCCGGCCATGCCGCTGATGACAAGAACGCGCCCATGTCTGACACGCATGACGTCACTGCCACGAGCTCTAGTATTTAATATACAACCTCTTAGGGGTTGGTAGGTTAATGCTCTCCCTTTGCCAGGGCACTTTTCTCAAGAGTTTTTTTAAAATGATGAAGTGAGCTTAAGG